TTATCGCGAATATTAAAATTTGTTAGACTTTTTTAGTTCTAAGTTTAGACCCCCCGCATTTTGTTAATAAATAAGTTACTTATGGACAATTGAGAACAATTATAGTCAGCTATATATTCGTGAAATTTGAATTATATCTGCGTTATATCACGTGATCTCCGTATGGGGATAACTTAGCGAGAACCGGTCGATTATATGTCCAAGCGTTTTGATTGTTTTTGGTTATGCATATTTTGTGTTTTCTTTAATGTGATTCAAGATAGTTATTTACTCGATCGTGAAACTTGAAAATTCTTGCGTATTTTGAATCGTGTTTATGTCATGTGATCGTCGTATGATCTGGATTGAGAGTTTTCCATTATACGTTTCGGCTTCGGCTTGGAACATTCCACCTTCGCGTGATTGTGTTTACGGTTTTTGCTGCGTTCTTGGAATATTTCCTAAGGTATCCTTGGGGATGTCAATGCTTTATATTGGAGAGGACACATTGTCATTGTGTACTATGATTAGCGGCTCTATTGAACATGTTTTGAAGATTAACTGTTATAAGAACAATTATCGTTAGCTTTATACTTGTGGAATTTGAAACCTTTTGCGTACTTTGATTTATATCTGCGTTATGTTGCGAGATCGCCGTTTGGGGATCACTTAAGAAGATTTGGTCGATCTTTGGGCGTCCCTGCTCGAGGGGGACGCTTTGGATTTTGACCAAGCGTTTCGATCGTATTTGATATGCATATTTTGTGTTTTTTTTTTAATTAAGAAAGTTATATATACTCGTGAAATTTGAAATCTTTAGCGTAATTTGAACCATAGCTGCGTTATATCGCGTGATCGCCGTATGAGGATTAAGGAGAGCGTCGATCCTGATTAATCGAATTAGGAGATAAGGTTGAATCTGATTTGTGAAATTTGAAATCTTTTGCGTATTTTGAATTATGTTTGTGTTATATCACGTGACCGCCATATTTGCTTGTCGGTATATTATACTTGGTTTCATTTCACCTGCACGTGATTGTGTTTATGGTTTTTACGCTCATGTAATCGGAATTGAAGCTTTCTGCGAGGCTTGCCTCTCTTTATATTGTATCCGTATTATTTTAGTATGTTTCAAAATGTTAAAAGCGATGAATTATCGAGGGGGACGCTTTGAATGACCAAGCGTTTTGATCGTATTTGATATGCATATGTGTTTTCTTTGAATTAAGAAAGTTATATATACTCGTGAAATTTGGAATCTTTAGCGTAATTTGAACCATAGCTGCGTTATATCGCGTGATCGCCGTATGAGGATTACTTAAGGGGAGCGTCGATTTCTTGGACGTAGAACTCCTGACTAATCGAATTAGGAGATAAGGTTGAATCTGATTTGTGAAATTTGAAATCTTTTGCGTACTTTGAATTATGTTTGTGTTATATCACGTGATCGCCATATTTGCTTGTCGGTATATTATACTTGGTTTCATTCCACCTGCACGTAATTGTGTTTATGGTTTTTACGCTCATGTAATCGGAATTGAAGTTTTCTGCGAGGCTTGCCTCTCTTTATATTGTATCCGTATTATTTTAG